TATTAGGACTTCTTTATTTGGTAAAAAGTAACCATCAAATTTAGTATATTTATTTAATTTTTTATAGTTGATTACCATTCTAACTTTTCCTCTAACCTGCTCAGAATATTTCATAACCATAAAAGCTGGACTACTATGAGGTCCATTACTGGGTCTAATTAGCTTTTGTTCTAATAGTTCTTTTATCTGAATTTTAAATTCTTGTATATCCTGTAAGGTATACATCATTGGTCTAACTCTTATTATAACATTTTCTGTTAATTCTATTTTAGCTTTAGGATGATATGGTTTCCAAAATAATAATGAGTTTTCTCCATAAATTTTATCTAATTGTTCTATGATTTTTTCCATACTTATCTCTATTTCTGTTTTTAGGATCTTTTTATATGATAGTTTTTTATTTTTTAATTCATCTTGTACTATTGGTCGTTTTTCCCATTTATCACTACGCTGGGCTGGCCGAACTCTGTAGGGTCTAAATTCTCTTGGTATTTTTAATAGATGTGCACAAGGTGTTTGTAACATTATCATGTAATTATTTTGTTTGTAATATTGAAATTGTTGGATAAAATCATTTCCTAATAATATATCACATTCTAATTTATTATAGTTATATACTTTATTTATTATAACTTGTTTACTACCAAGTATTATATTAACCTTTTCAGCACTATCAATTATTTGAGTACTTTCTCCAGTCACTCCTGTTATTTTTATTTTACTATTTTTATTCCATGATTTTATTAAGAAATTTTTAAAAATTGTTATATCACTTCTTGTATCAATTAAGGCACAAGTTGTTATGTTTGTTTCCACTATAGTAACTTGTATATATACTGCTATTGGAAAACTAATTTGATTATTTATCCACTTCCTATTCTACATAATGTAGTTTGTCCTTTATGAGTTATATATAATCCTTCTCTTTTTATACTATAATCTTCTAATCCATTTAAGAAACTCATTCCTAATAATATATGAGGTTCAATATCCATACTTTTATCAAAATAACATGGTACTAAAAGATCAATTCCACCTATTTTTATTGGTACCTTTACCTTTAATTCTGTAATATATAATTGTCCATCAAAATTCCTATATTCATATGGTTCTATCTTGTAAGGCATTAATCCTTCATTTTTATTTGCAGCCATATGACATTCACCAGCTCCTGTATCTATCAATATATTTGGTCCTTTTATATATTTTCTACCATTAAAATATTTTCCTTCTATTTTCATATTTCCAATATTTTCATGAGATTTTATTTCTTTTATACCACTAGTTTCTCCCAAATATTTCTTTTTATTTGGTAGTTTAAGACTTTTTGATTTCTTTATCAACCTTCCATTATGAAATGTTATTTTATAATCTTCTTCTTCTCTTAACTTTGTTATTTCAGGCTTCTTTTTAGTTATATTAAATTCATATTCTTCTGGGATAAGATTTATTTGTTTGTTTGGTTCCACTATTTTACTAATATCATTACTTTCCTTATGAATTTCTATGTATGGTTTATTGGAATAAATATTCCCATAATTAGAATTAGTAAATTTATATAATGCCCTATATTCCATAGTCATAATTTGATCTCCTGGTTCCATTATATCATTTCTATGTAATTTAAAATGTAATCCTAAAATTTCATTAAAATTTTTATCTTTCAATGAGACACAATATTTTAAGTAACAAGTAAATATTAACTTTTGATATGCTAAATTTCCTTCTATAGTTCCTAAATGACCATCTTCCAAATTTATAATTCTTCTATCATGTAAACTTACAGTTAATGGTGAATCTATTCCTTCCCTAAATAAGGATTTAAACATTATTTGTATTCCTGCTAAATAAACATATTGGATATTTTCACTATGTTTTTTACTTATTTTTGATAATAATTCTGATACCGTACTTTTTGTTAAAAGATTTATTTTATGTGTTCCCTGAGTTGTCTTAACATCTATAATTTTTTCAATCTTATGGTATTCATTTATTGATATTCTTTCTCTTCTCCACATTCTATCTAAAATTTCTCATTTTCCTATTTTTAAATCTAAGGATAACTTTTATATTTTCTTGAATTTATTATTATCAAAAGTTACTTTTAATCAATAACTTTCTATTCCCTCATATTCTTGGATTTCTATATTATTATTTTCTATTTCTTCAATTTCTCTATTCAGATTCCGATCCATAATCTTCTGAATCT